AAAAAAAAAAAAAAACTATCGGTCAGGTCTTGCCTACTTATGCTTTATGTAGTTTATGACATTTTGTCTTTTATATATATATATATATATATATTTCGTGATTTCTCTCTTGTCTTACAAGAATTTGTCCTTAGTAACTAGTTTGTATAGGTCCATATCTCTTGTTTATTGTTGATAACTTCTATTTCTCCACTTTTTTGTGGTTACTTCATTTAGTGAGTTAATATTTTCTAATAACTCTATTGATGCATGTTATAGGTAGTTATATGGTGACTTACAATCATGAGTTTTATTTTGGATGCATATTCATATAATCACATGATGAATGGAAGTACCCTTAGGATGATTGCAATCCTTGCAGAAAAATCATCACAAAATTTTTAGCATAAAACTCTAAAATCCTTTTGACATTATTGTAGCTGCTCAAAGTGGAATGCATAACTAGGATGGGATGATTAGATCTTACAATTATTGTAATTATGGAGGTTCATAATCCCATTCGTTTTGTAAGTTATGTTATTGTTAGGCTTTGTTTGGGGCGGTTTTCTAATTGCTTCTTAAAATAGTTTTTTTAATATAAAAATTTTATTTATTGTACTAAAAAACTGTTTTAAGAAGCAGTAAGAAAGTCGTCCCAAACAAAACCTTATTTGAAATTGTTATTGATTCCTCAATTCGGGACTTGATTTGGGAGAGAATTTAAAGATCTTAAGAAATTTAGAGTTTCATTCGACATTTGATGTCAATGATCATTGGCGATCATTATGATGCCATTATCCAAACACCTTCTCCCACTTATAGTCATCTGACTATCATTTCTTAACTGTCATCACTTGATTGTGATTATATAAACACCGACTATTGTTATTTGAGAATCATTATTTGCCTGACATCGATTAAATGTCATCATCCAACCACCATCTCTCAATCATCATCTACTGAATTCCATAGTCTGACCATCATCATCCAACTAAATCATCTAAATATTACATCTCCAGCATTTTCCCTCACGTATATTTATAGAAATATAAACTTATAATCATGTCACCTTCAATTGAGATGAAGAGCGAACTTTTACGACATATCTACATGGTG